GATATGTCTGCTTCTATTGCCTGGCTGAACAGACGTTTCATTCTTTCATCCAAACGTATTTGCTGAGCACCGACAGTGTGCCAGGAATTGCCGTCAGAAGGAAACAAGACATTCCTCCTAAGGGGTGAACATGTCTCTTCAATACATCAGTTGCGCAGTAGCATGTGAATAGGGCCCTGGAATGCTGGTTAGGGACTATTCTTAGAGAGTCATCTTGGGGTGCCCATGACAGTGATAAGGTGGGCCTCCGCTTGCAGAGAGTGAGGGATGGAGGCAAAGCAGGCTTGACCTGCACTGGGCAGTTTGCTTCGTGGCCAGCTAGAGAAGACCAGCCTGTGCTTCCTCAGAGATCAGGGCTGAAGAGGAACCCAGCTGGCCAGGGGGGTGACTTCTCCCATCAGCCAGGCTGGGCCAAGGCTGCAGAGCTGAGCTTTCTGCCTGAGCATGTCCTTTTTCTGGTCATTCATCTGGAGAAGAGATTCCACAAGCTGTATTTGATGTCACTCACTATATTTAGTTACAAATAACATTGCCATCGCCCCCCTGGACTGAATGCCACTTGGGTGAGGATCCTGGTGGATAAGTCCCACCACCGGGGAGACAGAATTCATCCCTGGTTGTACTCTTGTTGGGCAGGGGGAGCACTCCACTTCCACAGGCTTTTGGCTATGCCATGGTATGGCTCCAATCTGGAAAGAAGGGGCTGGGATAATGAAGACTCAACTCCCCTCACTTGGGACCTCAAGACAACATCTTACATTAAAATGCAGAATCAAGTTTTGTCACAGGGAATAGTGAAGGGAAGGAGGCTAGAGGTGAGGGAGTTGTTTTTTCTTTCCATGGAGCCGGTGGGTTCCTATGTTGACCTGGCCAAAGGCACTCCCCTTGCTGAGAAGGAAGCCAGACCTGGTAACATAGCAGCAGCCATGGTTCAGGCAAGAGGAACTTCTGTATACCAGGGCAGAGAGGAACAGTGTTTATTTCATACTTCTCTTTTTGGTATTATAATGATAAACTTTCGTTAGTCATTGCAGTCAGACTAGCTGGATCCCGGGGATTTAAGAAGTGTGCCTATTCTATAATTGGGGCTCAGCCTGGCAGAGAGGCGTCCAATCTGGTAGCCACTTGTGGCTATTGAGCACTTGAAATCTGAGTAGTCTGAATAGAGAAGTGATATAAGTATAAAATGTACATCAGCTTTCAAAGACTTACTATTGAAGAGGAATGTAAAATATTTCATTAATATTCAAAAAGTTTTATTACATGTTGAAATGACAATACTCTGAATATATTGGGTTAAATAAAACATATTATTAAAATTAACTTCACCAGTTTTTTACTTTTTGCAATGTGGTTACTGGGAAATTTAAAATGACCCATGTGGCTTGCATGATATTTCTACTGGGGAATACTATTCTAGGAGTCTCCAGGTGACTTTTACCTGTCCCGAGGTGAGTGAGTGGTCAAATGTGAAAATACCACCAGGATGGATTTAACATATTGGCATCCCTTGGGGAGTCTCAGAAATAGGTGAGTCAGGAAAACCTATTGAAGATTGGCCTTGCTGTGGCTTGGGTCATATTAGTTGGGTATAAAAGAGAACAGTGACCTCAGAGGGCTAGGTCCATGAGTTAAGTCTGAGAGTAAGAGAACTAGTGATTTTTGTTTTGCAGTGGCCCCTTAAAATGGCTGCACCAAAACATCAGTCCAGAAACCCAAGATGGAAGTAAGGGGTCAGAAGCCCCAAGGTACATCCCAAAGAGCTTGGAAGTGGCTTCTAGGCTCCATGAGCAACTAGGTGGCTTTACTTTAGAGACTCAGGAGATTTTTCATAAAGACCCTGTTAGACCATGGTTATGTTGTATGGATTTTTATACCATGGGTTAAATCACAAATACTTATGTGTAACAATCCCATATTATGAGAACATAGTATTACCCAGAGCAGTGGACACAGTTGGTGCCCTGCCCAGATCCTTTTCTGATTCTGGGAGCTCATACCCAGCTCCTGTGACTTTGTTGCTAATAATCACAGCTGTGATCCTCTTTAGAAGATTTCCTGTGGGTTACTAGCGCCCCTGTGCCCATTCAGAGAGCCAAAGTTCTCATAGCCAATGATCGACTAGTGCAGGTGTACAAAACTCCATCTGCAGATGTAAGAATTCTGAGCTGCCACACAGAGCTCTCCAGTGAGCAGGCTGAGGCTGCACCTGAAACCACAACCTTATTTGGCTTCTTTTCTTTTCCCATCCTGCTCTCTTCACCCCTTTCCTGCTTTCTCCTAGACAAACTTCCTTAATAAATCACTGGTTCTCAAATGCTCATCTCAGGGTCTGCTTCTGGGGAACCCCACAAGAAAACACAGTCAGACTTTGTTGTGGGTATTGGTCTTTTTTTAAACTTTTTTTTTCTTTATTGATTTTTAGAGAGAGAGGAAGGGAAAAATGGAAACACGGATGAGAGAGAACATCGATTGGCAGCCTCCTGCATGCCCCCAACTGGGGATTGGGCCCACAACCTGGGCATGTGCCCCGACTGGGAATCAAACCGGTGACTTCTTGGTGCATGGGTCGACGCTCAACCACTGAGCCACATCAGCCGGCCTTGGGTATTGGTCTTGATCTTGGGTGGTGGCCATGTAATACACATCCACTGAGTGTGTGGGGGATTCCAAACCCTTGAGATACCCTTGCTAAGAGCTCTGACCCTGTGCCCAGAGGAGCAGGGGCTGTAGGAACAGAAGAGGGCCTGTGTGTGGTCTGCATCACTCCAGGCTGTGTGTGTGAAGCAGCGATGAATGTCACACTGACAGCCACATGACTTCCCCTCTGACCATTTATTTTATTGCTGTTTGACCAGGCTCTTCCCCCACATCTTTTGATCTCTATCTTAATGACACCGTTGCCTTCTTACAGAAAGTATTTCAAAATAAGGATTGAAACAGGAACTTTGTTGAGTTTTGCAACACAGAAGTGTATTCTAGGCCTACATTTATAGGAAGTGGGAGTTGAAAGAGCAATGAGTTCGTGGGGTTGGGGAAGAGGGGGTGTCCCCACCAAGGGCCGTCACACAGGTGGGCAGGCAAGATGGGGATCGGGGTCTGAGTCCTGAGCGTTCCTGAATCGTCAGGAATTACTGACTTATCGAAGGGGAGAGCTTTGGAAAAATCTATAAACACACATTGTCTCCACATGGAAGGCACTTACTTCCCCTTAAGATAGATTAGGGAAAAAATGAAAGCAAGCCTGAAAACCCACATTAACCAAACACACACACACGAGACAAACTCTAAGTCTCCAGAAAAACACCCTCAAATAGGCACTTGGTGTCTCCAGCTCTGGGGTTGGAGAGATCTGGGATTTTGTGCCCCTAAGACAGGGGCCACTGTCCCCACGGGGCAGAGCAGCTTCTGAAGGCCCTGCGGTCTGATCTGTTGGGTGGTCCTGGCCCAGCTGGACGGGAAGGAGCTCCGTTTAATGAAGACCCCCTTGCCTCTTAGTCACCAAGACAGTGACTTGCAGAAAGTTCTGTGCCCGGTGCATCTTCTGAATATAGCAGCCTGGCATTTCTAAAGAGCACATCACTGGAAGGGTAAATGCTGGCTTTTTAAATGCGAGCGTGGCATCATGGCAAGTGACTGGCTCCATGAGGCAGGGGCCACATCCAGTTTGCCACTACACACTGTATCCTCAAGACCCAGCACTGTGCCCGGCACTTAGTAGGCACACAACCAACGTTTATTGAATGACTGAAGAAAATAATCCGGGAAGAAAAGCCCTTTCTCCCACGAATACAAATTTATAATCTTTTCACTGGTTACAAGTAGGTTCATTTTAACCCTCAACATGGAATTACAATTCATTTATTCTCCTGACATCAGCTGGCCCTAGAGGAACTTTGTTTTAGTTGAGGCTGTCTTTCCAGTGGGAGCCAGGGAATTCATCTGGTTACGTCCAAACAAGAGGGTCTTCAGTGGGATAATCAATCCATCTTTTAAGCCAGCAGCTGGCCCAGAACTGGATGGTCTGGCTGGAGGCTAGACCAGGGTCTGATGTCTGGGAAGGAGGGGCTGGTCTTTAATTATATCCTGGGGGAAGAGGGTCTGAGTGATAAATAAATCTTGGTCTAAATAAATCTTGCCGGAAGGGCTGGTAACAGGAATAGGAAGTAGAGGCACCGAGAGAGGAGGGAGGTCAGGGACTGGCCCTAGAATTGAGAACCAGGCAAGAGAAGGTGGGTATGGCTGACCCCAGGGCCTTTACACACTGAGCTCTCAGGCCACAAGGATGCTGGTCAGGGGAGGAATCCCCAAGCATCTGGGAGAGCCTGTGTCCATGAGAGAGATGAGGCACAAGGAACATCTCAAAAATGAAGTCTGCTCTGATAAAATTGCTTCCAGGGAAGGTTCTAAGTGACATTATTGGACCCTCAGGGAATGGGGGCGGGGGCTAGCCAATGTGTCTACACTGCAGAGAGAAAGCCACAGGGGCTTGGAAGAAGCTGGTAAGGAATGAATAATTGGGGTTGCGACCTGGAACCCCAAGGGAAGTGAATTTGAAATGATGATGGTAGCTCAAGTCGTGTGGGCGTCCCAGGTCCCTTTCCACGCGGTCTACCTTGACCTTCAGGGCATGGCTACCAGGGGAACAGGTGAGCCCAGAACCTCCTTCCCTTCACCTTCCCTCAATTTTGGACAAGAGACTAAGGCTTCTTTGGGGAATGATTTGGGTCTATGAGGTTTTGTTCTGTTTTTCATGTCAGGGCTGTACCGATACTGGCCAAACGCCCAGCTGTTTTTCAGGAAGGACAGAGCTGAGGCTCCTGGGGGTGGCTTCAGTGGACACTGATGGCCTTCTGAGGGCGGGCAAGGCACCGATACCCCAAATCCCTCCCAGTTCCTGAAGGCTTCCCGGTGGGTCTGGACAGGCGGAGGAAGCTCTGGGGGAGAACTCAGGGAGGGAGGGAGGGAGGGAAGTGCCAGGTCCCTGTAGGGTACCCCGACAGTTGAGTGCTCCCTTTTTTCGCCACGCAGTGCCTGGCTGAAGCTCTGATTGCTGGGGCACCCACTTCAGTGATGGCCACCTCCAGCAACCTCACTGCCGGCCACACCCCGACCCCTCGCACCCAGGCTCCTTTGTTTGAAAGGTCTTGATTGATTTCGGTAACTGACCATTTGGGCAGCTTGGCTTTCCTCTTCCACGCTTTAAAACCCCACGCTTACGTTTTAAATTTGCCAACAGAGAGTGAGCAACCTTAGGCCCCAACCCTCGACCCCAATAAAAACGGAACCCCAGGCCGGTGTGCTTGCTCTCCCTCCCCGCGACCTCTCTGGGCGGCCCCAGGTGTGCTGTGTCATTTCCAGGTCCTGTAGGTAATACACTTGTTTTTCTTCCCAAAATTTCTTGATGCTTATCGCTGAGGGGCTTCTTGCAATCACAAGAACCACAGGGCCGGTCCAGCCACACGCTGGTTGTTGGTAGGCTGAGGCCGGCACACGACACCCGCTGTGGGTCAGGGCACCATGTGCCACCACTTGAAGGCGAAGGGCTTCCTGCGGACGTTGGTGCCGCAGTGGATCTCCCCCAGGAACTTGTGGTAAGCAGAAATGTCATCGATGAAGGTGCAGCAGAGGCCCAGGGGCTCCAGCAGGGCGCGCACGTGCGTCTCCAGGCAGCACTCTTCCTCAATCTGGGGCCCGAAGGGCTTGGGGATGCCCAGGTCCTTGTCCAGCACGATCATGTTCACCTGGGACAGAGGGCGGGCCAACAGCTCCTGTTTAGTGAGCACCTACTGTGCACCTGGCCCTGTTCTAAGCTCATTGGATCCTCCCAACAATCCTATGAAGTAGGTGTTGTGATTTATCCCCACTTTATTTATTTTTTTTCCTTTATTGCTTTTAGAGAGAGAGGAAATAAGAGGGAGAGATAGAAACATCGATGAGAGAGAACATGGACTAGCCACCTCCTGCATGCCCCCCACTGGGGATGGGGCCCACAGCCTGGGCATGTGCCCTGACCGGGAATCGAACTGGTGACCTCTTGGTGCATGGGTCGACGCTCAACCACTGAGCCACACCGGCCGAACTATCCCCACATTACAGACGAGGAAAATGAGGCACAGAGGGGGCTAAGCAACTCATACGTGGCAGAGCTGAAGCTCCTTATGCATGTGTATATATATGCATGTCCATGCCTGTGCACATGGCTATACATGTGTACGCTTCAGCACATGCGTGCACATGCATGTGGGTAGGTATGTGTACACATGTGTATGTGTGTGTACTTATGCATGCATCTGTGTGTGTGTTCTAACCTCTTTCTAGCTCATAGAAGACTATAACAAGAATCCCCGTCCCTAAAGGCCTTTTACGCTTGCACACCCGTTCCTACTGTCTAAGGACTGCCCAGGAGCGCAGTGAGCACGGGCATCTCCCCCCAGAGGGAACGAGGCCCAGACACGGCAAGTGCCTGGGGCGGGTGGCCGAGGCCACACAGCAGCTCAGCCAGGACTGTGGCCTAGGCGTGCTGATTGAATGGCTTCAGCCCAGAGGGGCCTTCTGGATCTGGCTGCCCTGATTGGCCCAGATGGGGTTTGGGGTCCGGAGCGCCTCACCATGTTTGGGAAGAAGGCTCTGGCCTGGCGGCCCTCGTCCATCTTGAACAGAGCAGGCAGATCGATGATGTCCTGCTCCGTCAGTCCCAGCTCCTTCTTGAGGATGTCACGGTTCCAGTCCAGGCAGCGCTGCGGGGGGGGGGGGGGGCAGGCAAGTGAGAGGACATCCCTGCCACCTTTGTGAACTCCCCTGAACCCAGGGCCCTGGCACCCCAGGGAGCCTTCCAGTGCTCATCCCGCACCCCTGCCCTCGGCAGTGCCCCCTCACCAGGGCTCAGTAGCAGCAGTAGCCAAGAGAGCGAGAGACGATCACAGCGCAGGGCTAGTAGGTGCTCAGGAAATGACCAGATGCAATGCTAAGGGCTTGCTACTCAGCATCTCACTGACTCCTCAGGCTGCTCTGCCCCGTGAGGTGAGAATAAGGGTGACTGTGTTTGACTGATAATAATAAAAGCTAACATGTGCAAGTGTCTTGAGTGCTTTACACACATTACCTATTCAAGCCTCAGCACCTTGAGGCAGACACTATTATTCTCCCCATTAGAGACGAGGGGACGGAAGACACGGAGTTTTTAGTGAGGTGCCCTAGGTCTTACTGCCAAAAGTGGGGGCCATGATTTGACTTCAGATCTACCCGATGCCAAAAAAATGACCACAGAGCAGGTATAATAAAGTCAACTTTCAAGTAGCCACTGAGGGGTTTCGTGAACTTGTTTGGGTTTCGTGAACTTGTTTGGGTTTTGTGAGTTTCGCTTCTCTGGCATCCACTCCACCCCTCCCCCTGCATTGTTGCATTGGACTGACCACACCCTCACTTTCTGCTGAGAGCTAATTAGTGGACACTAGCCTCTACCTCCTTGCCCCAGTGATTGGTTCAGGGATGGATAGGAAATCAGGTATAAGGCAATCCGTATGATAATTGGTTCAAGTAAGCACAATTATAGTGAAATGCAAGGGTTTTGTTTGATTGTTGGGGGGGCATATAAGACCTCTCTCTTTATGGATGGTGTTCTGGGTGAATGTGAGAACTGTTGTAGCTATGCTCCTACCCACGAGGGTACCTGCAGACCCAAGAAGTGCAGAGAAATGGAGCTGGAGCCCTGATCAACCTGTGCCTGAAATCCACACCATTGCCAGACTTTCCACTTATATGAGCCAATCATGCATTTTTGTTGAAATCAGTTTGAGTTTTCTCTGTGTTGTTGTTGTTGTTGTTTTTTAAACTCGGTACTTGTGGAGGAGAGACTGTTCCGTGATGTGACCACTGCTTGACCTGTGAGCTGGACTCAGAGCAGAACAAAGATTGTTTACTGCAAACCCCGGTAGAGACTGATCGTAACTGATGTTCGTCCTGACATAAATCAGCACCCCTCCCCTGCCTCCCACTGTGTGCTGGTTCCTGGAACAGGCTGTTGTCCTGACCTGGTCAAGCATGCAAAGCAATTTCCCACACCTGCCAGCATTCGGCACTAGTACCCATGACTCTTCTCCCTTACCCAGGGCCCACTTCATCTTGCAAAATTCAGGGCATACATTTATACGTGCATTTTTCTGGAGAGCAGTTCTGTCTCGTTCATCATATTTTATTTATTTATTTATTTTTTATCCTCACCCGAGGACATTTTTCCATTTTTTTTTGTTCAGGTAGAGTGGGAGGGAGAGAGAGAGAGAAACATCGATGTGAAAGGAACACATCGAGTGGCTGCCACCCGCACAACCGACCAGGGCTGGGGACAAACTGCAACTGAGGTACGCGCCCTTAGCGGGAACCGAACCCGGATCTCTCAGGACCGCAGGCCGACGCTCTAACCGCTGAGCCAAACCGGCCAGGGCTCGTTCATCATATTTTAAAGGGGCATATCTTCCCCAAATGTTAAGGGCTCTCTAGCCTTGCAGAGCCCTGGGCTCTTTTGCACTGCCTGGCATGCCTCCCTTCCCAGGTCCTCTGTCTGCTCTAGCCTCTGCGGACACTCGTCCTGTCTTTGTCACCCTTTAGCCTGCAGCTTTAGCACAGGAGTAAAGCAGGGAGCTGAACCCAGTGCTCCTTGAAGCCCTTCCCTCTGTCATGCGGCTGTGAACTCTTGGCCATTCCCTACTGAAGCCCGGAGGATGTGAGAGGTGACATTGGGCACAGCCCCGGGACCTCTGGCCCCACCCAGTGGCTGGGCCCCTGCCCTCACCTGGAAGTACTGGTTCTCCTGCACAAGGCTCTCATTGGACAGAATCTTGTTGATGGTGATGCGCTTGTTGCTCATCCCGCCCAAGCCTGTGGGGGTCAGAGGACGGAACAGTTTAGCCTTAGGTATGCCAGCTTCTGGGCTGACCGCTAGGAAGAAGGAGATGGGGCTGGGAACAGGCTGGGGCACAAGAGGGCACTGCCAGGACATACAAGCCTCCTCTGCCCGGGAAAGGCAGCACGCACTCCTTCCCCCAGGGCGGGCCGTGTCGCCTGGGCCAGGGAAGGGGTGCGGCTGCCTAGCTCTCTCCCTGGCAAGAGGGTCGGGTGGCACAATTAGCCACCTGAGTCTTATACCTGGAGCCTGCTTCTGAGGGCAAGCAGCCCTCCAGGGTGAGGATGGCAGAAGCAGGATGCCCAGAAGTATCACCTTCCTGTTTTCCAGACCCGCCGCATGCTTGGCCCAGGCCCTGGTCTGTGCCGGCATCTCCTCCCATTCCGCCGAGGCGGCCCCTGTGGTCTCTGCCCTGATGAGTAACACCTAACGCTCACTGAGCACCTACTATGTGGCGGGCACTCTTCCACACGTTTTACATGGATAACTTGGAAATCTTCTGCACAGTTCTAGGAGGTAGCTGCTAGAAGTAAAGACGAGGAAACCAAGGCACGGAGAAGTCACATGACTTGTCCGAGGTCTCAAAGCTGGTGGCACCTCCTGCTCTGGGAAGAGTCTCCGGTACATGGTACCTCCCAGTCCTGCACGTGTGAGTGGCAGACACACGGAGGCTCTCACCCTGTGCCCGAGCTGTCTCCACATCACCACCTGGGCCTGTGTGTATAAAGACAGTGGCTCCTAGAGCCAATGGGTAGCTTTGGAGCCATGTTTAATATAGAAAGAAGCCTCCAGAAAGTCAAGACTTATGCCTGCCAATCCAAGACAAAAAATAAGCCCCGTTGGTGAAGAATTGAAAAAGGACAGCGGTTTTAACTAAACTGGCCTGATCTGGCCCGGCCAGCGGTCACTACCAGGGACACGGCCTGTGCACATGGAGGGTGGCATGTGTGTAAGGATCAATCAGCCTTAGGAGGCAGATTTCTGGAAGTAGGTAGATGGAGAAACCAACCTGCAAGTGACAAATGGTAATTTGAGAAAAACAAACCGTCATGGCCTGTCCAGCCTGGCTCACTATCTCCACCTGACCCGTGCTCCCTCTTTCTTTCTATGATTAATTGAAGAGCAAACCTCGTCCCCATCTGGGTCTGTCCCAGTTCTGTGGATGTCTCAGTGACGCAGGGAGTTCCTCACTCTGGGACTGACAGTGATGGGGTTGGTTGTCTAGCAGGCCTGTTGGCTCCCACTTTCCTTCCTGTCCCTAAAATTCATCACGTGTAGCTCTCTTTCCCCTGCTCTAAAACAAGCTCCGTGGATGCAGACTGTGCATTGGTTTTGAACCATTTAAGTCTCCTCTGGGTCTGGTGCATTTATTTTTTTATTAAAAATTTTTTTTTTCTTTACTGATTTTTAGAGAGAGAGGAAAGGAGAGGGAGAGAGAGATAGAAACATCGATGAGAGAGAACATCGATTGGCCGCCTCCTGCATGCTCCCCACTGAGGATTTGGCCCACAACCTGGGCATGTGCCCGGACCAGGAATCGAACCAGTGACCTCTTAGTGCATGGGTTGACGTTCAACCACTGAGCCACACCAGCTGGGCACCTGAGGATATTTTTATCCATTGATTTTTTTTTTTTTTTAAGAGGGAGTGAAAGGGAGGGAGAGATTGAGAGAGAAATATTGATGTGAGAGAGACACTTCGATTGGTTGCCTCCTGCATTACCCTGACCAGGCTGGGGGTCAAACCTGCAGCCCAGGCACGTGCCCTTGACCAGGAATCGAACCTGTGACCCTTTGGTCCAAGGGCTGGTGCTCCAACTGCTGAGCCAAACTGGCCAGAGCATGGGCACTCACCTTTAAACATGATGGCCTCCCCATGGCCTTCCTTCTGCTTCTCCCGGAAGAGTTTGTAGCAGGCCGAGGTGCTGGCCATGAGCAACCGAAATTGCTGCAAGAGATTGACCAGGGGGACAGTGTCAGCGGAGGGGAAGTGGCCACGGAGCATGAGGGAGCCCCTGCCCTGTCTCCATATGTTTCAAGCCTCCCCCCGCCAAGTGGCAAAGGCTGCCTGGCAGGGTTTTCTAGTTTCAGAGGAATATTTTTCACCTTTCCTGCTATCGAAATTCCTCCACCTCCAGAGGGGAAGAGCTTCTTCAAATTGCCAAGAGGTCAGATCATTTGTGCAAAAATCTCAGAGTATGAAGTTCCTTTCACTTCAGAAAATGCAAGAACCTCTTTCCAGAGCCCCAGGCCCACACCCATGCTCTCTAGAGCGTTATGTCAAGCCAGTAGCCACGTGTGGTTATTGGACATTTGAACTGTGCCTAGTCTGATCTGAGATGTGCTGTTAAGAGGAAAACATGCACCAGATTTTAAAGACGTATATAAAAAAAGAATACAAAATCTACCATTAATGACTTCAATATTGGTTGTGTGTTGAAATGCTAATATTTGGGATATAATGGGTTAAAAATGTACCTGTGGCAGCGACCACATACAAACCAGCTTCAGCCTACTTCCTTCTTCCACTTCCTCTAGATCCCACCCTCTGTTGGCAAGAGCTGATATCCGAGGGTTCTCCACCATCCTAGTCACTGCAGCCTCCGGAGCCAGCTCACCTTTGTGTCCGGGATGGGGATGAAGGTCATGAACTCGTCCACGTGGCCCACGGTCAGCCAGTCCGAGTAGAGCTCCACGGGCGCCTGCACCTGCTGGGCCTGCAGGAAGTCCCGCACCACCTTGGTCATCCTGCGACCGCCGGACCTGGGGCAGGGTTGGGGAGGAGGCAGCTTTCAGCAGGTTGCCCACCATGCCTGTCTCACCAGAGGGCCTGTAGCCCAGCCTGAATCCAGGGGGGCATCAGCAGAGAGGTCATGGGGAGGAGCCTGAGCTGCAGGCTGAGAGACCCTGCTGCAGGCAGGAAGGTGTTTGAGCCGAAGGGGTAAGGACGCATTAGCTGCAGCCAGGGTCTGTGCAAAGGTCCTGGAGCCTGGTCTTCAGCCCCTGATGATGTCAGTGGGGGTGGGGAGGCCAGCTTCTGTGCTCAGTTGTCCTACCTGAACTGCTGGAGGGGGCTGGGGCACAGGCATGGTTCCAAAATCTGCCCTAGCCTTTGTGCCTCTTTGCTACATTAACTTCTACCTCACTCATTTTTAATCAATTCAAGTGACACCCCCTCCGGGGAACTCTTCCTGACTTCTAGACCCTCCAAGGTCTTCAATCTCTTCACTACCCATGGAATGTAACTGAAGGTCCTTACAGTAGACAAATTCCTCTCCGACCTGGCCCCTGACTGACTCTCCTTCCTCATCTCCTTGGTTCTGTTTGCTGCAGATACCTGCCAAGTTCGTAACCAGCTCAAGGCTTTGCCCTCACTGTTCCTTCTATTTGGAATGTTATTTCCCTCTGATCTGCCTCTTTTTCATCATCCAGCCCTCATTTCCAAAGTTATTTTCTCAAAACCACGAAAGCTAAAGTACCCTGATTTGATCTTCTTCATTGTACTTACTAGCACCCCAAAGTATCTTATTTTCTTGCTTCCATGTTTATTCTCTGTACTTCCCCCACCCCAACAGAAACTCCTCGAGAGCTGGGACTTTGTTTTGCTCACTGCTGTATCCCCAGAGCCTAGAACAATGCGTGGTACCGAGAAGGCCCTCAATAAATATCTGTCTCTAGAATCCCTCCCTGAACTCCCCACGGGGGTCAGGGACCCCTCCTTGGGTTCCTCCGGCTCCCTATCATTCTTTATGTCATTGTACATTCTCCTGTGTCATGTCTGTAATCACCAGTTCCTTGAAGGTGGGGGCTGAGCTTCCTGGCACTTGGAAAATACCTGTTCAATGGACAAGTGGCTATTGCATAGAGAAAGGACAGAAACATGGCCAAGTGGTCACTGACAGTGCCAGTGGCCATCACTAAGAAGGCAGAACATCCCATGTGGCTCAGAGGCACTTGGTGCCCTATTCCTGGCTGGTCCCATATGTGCAGGTTCCTGGCAGCCCTTTTGTTAAGTGAGGACCTATAGTACTCATTATCTCCCCAGCAGCTGCCCTGACCAAGGAAGACTCTGCCTTTCCATTGACTGGTGGGTCATCTGGGGATGGAATGAGGGTGCTGTAGACAGGCCATGGAGCCAGGGACTCGTGCTTTGGGGTAGGGCCACGTGGTCCCATGACTTGTGTATGAGCACCCTCAGGGATTTGCAGGTGTGCTCCCACCCACGCTCTCTTAGCATTCCTTCTCTGGACTCCGTCATCCCTTCCCTCGCTGGTCTATAATCTCATTATATAGCCTTGCATTTTGGGAAGGGAGTTTATGATTCAGTTTTATATTTGATCCTGATTTATGCTAAGATGTATGGGCTGACTTGGTTTTCTTTCCATGAATGTCTGTGTCTTACCAGAGAGTCACAGGAGGGATTAATTCGCCCAGCCTTTCGCTCCAGGTATGAGCAACCCAGCCACTGCGAAAGAGACAGAGCCACCCCGCCCCCGCTGCCCCCAGCCCACCCTGGCGTCTTACAGAGGAAAGCTGCTCCCGATGAGGATCCGGCCCAGGGGGTATGTCTTGCCGTTCACGGTCACTGGGGGACTGACCTCCAGGTTCCCAAAGGAATCAAGGCTGGTGACAGGCTCAAAGAGGGGTTCCCGGCTCACGTAGCCAAAATCTGGGCCCTAGGCAGGGGGCACACACCCATCATTAGTGTCCTGCAGCCAGGGGCCCTCAGCCCCAATGTAGCCACTGTCTGATGGCCACTCTTTGACCAACAATGTTTGGTCTGGCACTGTGGGCACTTAGCCTCTGGGCACATGGTCTTTTTATTCCCACCAAAGAGCAGTGCCTGGCAGGGGGAGGCTGAGTCTCTGAGCACGTTGGTGTGAGTGTGGGTATGAATGTGAGTACACAAGTGTGTGTGTGTGTGTGTATGTGCGCGTGCATGCATGCGTGCACGTGCATCTGGGTTTCTGCATGTGCCTCTATTTCCCAAACACGAAGACTTGGCAGTGACATCTGGATTAGACCTCATTTTGTGCTATGGATGACCCTCTCATCTCTTCATTTCTCCGACCCTCCGTTTCCCCTTCTGTCAAAGGGGTATTGGATTAGGTGACCTGAGGCAAGGTGGTAGATTGTATTATTGTTCCCAGAGACTTGCTCCCCCCTTCTTAGAAAGAGGATTTTGCCTCCTGAGCTACTGCCGTGTGACTTCCGGGTATCTCCCTGAGAAGGAATGTTCTTCCCTGCCCAGTGTCAGACTTGGTCGTATGACTTGCTTTGGCCAATGAAATGTGAGCAGAAGTGACACGGGCCAGTCCAGAGCCGAAGCTGTAAGATCCACTGTGCAAGCCTGTCCACTCTTTCTCCCCTTCTCATTCTAGGAGAGTGGCGTTGTCCAGACTGGGGCTGCTCGTGCAGCCTGGGCTCCAGAAAGAGGAAGGAACAAGGAGGCAGAGCTGCAGACAACCAACCAGTAGTTAACATGGGTGCAAGCAACAGATGGACCTCTGCTACCGTCAGGCATTGAGATTCGGGGGTTGTTCGTTACTGCGGCCTTACCTAGTGAAAGCTCACTGATACACACAGGAATGGCAGATATGTAACATGTGACATGCCAACCTATTCCCAAACAACCATTTTTGTTCCCTGAGCCCAGGTGTAGCCTCAGAATCCTTCTTCTTTTTTAAATCATCACCTGAGGATATTTTTCCATTGATTTTTAGATAGAATGGGAAGGAGGAAGGGAGAGAGAGAAATGTCAATGTGAGAGAGACATATTGATTAGTTGCCTCCCGCATGATACTGACCGGGGCTGGGGATCAAACCTGCAACCGAGGTACATGCCTTTGACTGGAATCGAACCTGTGATCTTTTGGTCCGCAGGCTGATGCTCTAACCTCTGAGCCAAACAGGCTAGGGCCTCAGAATCTCTCTTAGTACAGAGCTCTGTACTAAGTTGGCATAACCCCAGTGGCCCCCAGTTGACATAACCTTGGTGATCTCCTGAATTTTAAGGTTCCTTTTACAATTTTTTTGTTAAAAAAAAAAAGTGGGGACCTTCCTTGGGAACTTTCACTGGGGCCAAGACTAAGCTAGTTTGAAAAAAATTCTCATAAAAAGAAAAATGCGGAGTAGGGCTCTGGCTGGTTTGGCTCAGTGGTTAGAGTGTCATCCTGTGGACCAAAGGGTCTCACGTTCAATTTCTGATCAAGGTAACATACCTGGCTTGCAGATTCGCTCCCTGGCCCTGGTCGGGGGTTGTGCAGGAGGCAACCAACTGATGTGTCTCTCTCACATCGATGTTTCTCTCTCTCCCTCCCTCCCTTCCACTCTAGCTGAAAATCAATGGGGAAAATGTTCTCGGGTGAGGATTAACAACAACTAGAAAATGTGGAGTGGGAAGGGGTGTGGCTTATCCTGGCCCAGCTGAGAGGCTCCAGGGACAGCCGTGGCAGGTGGGGTAGATGGCTGCCGCTTAGCGCTTTCTCGCCCGAGAGCCCCAGATGGCAAGGTCTGATTTGCCGGAGGCTGGGGCAGCTGGGGCTTCACAGCATCACATAGGCGGGCAGGCACATGGCACAGAGCCAGGCTTGGCACAGGCCTCCAGGAACAATGCATCCCAGGGTTTTGGAAGCAGGCCAGCAGAACACTGAAGGCAGGTGGTGACCTGGGGACAGTGAGGGCAGGGTCTGGGAAGCCTCGGTTCTCATGCCTGCAGCGGGCCAGTTTGACGCTATCCCCCACAGTGTTAGAGGAAGTGGACAGTCCTCACCGAGGACAGTATTCAGGGCTGTGGACTGATGACTGTAACAACAGCTAATGATGAGCATTGCAGCAGGTGCAGCATGGATGTCTTTGATCTTCACAACGGTCCTATGAGATGGATACTGTTTCCATCCCCATTTTACAGATGAGCAAGCTGAGGCTTCAGGAGGTTGAATTGCTTGCCCAACGTCACACTGCTGCTAAGGGGTAGAGCAGGGACTCAAGGCCAGGTCCGCCTGACATTCCAGAGCTGTGTGGTCACACCAAGGGCTTCACCATCTCCCCATGATGAGGGGCATAGGTTAGTGAACCTGGCGAGGGGCCACCTCTGAGCAGCCCGCACGTCTTGGGGAGGGCATAAAAGGAAAGTGGAAATGGCTCTAGAACCGGGGCGGGGGGTGGGGGCAGATTGCTTTAAATAAAAACATGCACTGAAAACCACAGGTTTAATGCGTTTTGAAGTTGGAACCATGATTTTTGACAATTGCTTAACTCTAATTTTCCTCTTTGAAACTTACTTTGCTGCAGGTTGGAGGTGGGGCAGTGGCAGAAGTCAGGGCCCTGACCTGCCTTTGTCTTCCACAGTTCTCATTTCTCATTTAACAGAAAACTCTCCATTTTTTGGAAATGCATCAGTTATCAGAGCAGGAAAGGACCTCAGAGGTCACTATTCTAACTGACCCATTTCATAGGCGAGAAAACAGAGGCCCTGGGCAACAGATTAATTTGTCAAGGGTGCTGAAGGTCTCCTGACCACTCTGTCCTGTAGGGTCCCAGGATTGTGCCCCACCCCCACCCCAGGGTGGTCCTCAGCATCTCACCAGGAGCTGCTTCACTGGGAAGTCCTTCAGGTTTCCATCTCGGGGGGAGTCCAGCACCACGGGGAAGCCTTTGTGGGGGGCTTCAATGTAGCCAAACTCGATTTCATCCTGTGGGGGACACGAAGGGAAACCCTCAGGTGAGCCTAGCTGAAAATCAGCACCGCTACTGAGTACCTGCCAGCCTCCCCAATTCTCTTCCTGACAGTGAGTGATGGCCGACAGCGAGTGGTTCTTTTCCTACATATCCTTCCACGCAGTCTCTGCACGTCCCAAGCATGTGTGTATTCATATCAACCCCATTTTATAAAACACAATTGGTAACATTCTGTATACATTTTCCTGCAAGTATCACCTTAACTTGAAGCACATTCTGTATTCATAGATTGGCTTCTTTCTAGCTGTTGTATACTACTCCTATCATATGTATGGTTCCTCTGTCCCCTGTGGAAGGACGTTTGGATTGTTTTACAGGCTTTTGCTGCTTAGGCTGCAGTGAGCTGCCTCATACGTTTGTGTCTCTGAGCACACGTGCATGTATGAGCTGAGAACAGAATTCCCACCCGTGGTGCTGCGGGTGCCGGGGTATTGGTGTTAAGGCAGCTCTTCTTGCCGGAGCCCTGGGTCACGTCCCTCACAGCCTGGGCTTCCTCACCTGGATCCAGCGGTCTCCTCGGTTTATGTACTGGAAGCAGACCTTCAGTTCGCAGTTGGTTTTCTCAACCAGGTTCTTCACCTCCTTCAGGAACAAGTAATTGTCCTTCATGCTGAGACGTTTAGGGAAGAGGGGAAGGCCAGGAGAAAGGGTGAGGAGGGACGAGGGTCAGCCCACTGAGGTGGCAACAGCAGCTGGCACCTCCAGGCTGTGCTAGGTAGGTGAGGCCACATCTGTGTTCCCAGCCACCTTTGCAAAGGCTGCTGGACTCAAGGGCCAAGCACACAAGTGGCGTTTGCCAAGGTCATGAACAAACAATGAGGAGGTGGACTCTCACCCCCACCTGTCCCAAAGCCTTGTCTCTGACTCCCCAGATTTCCAAAGAGGAGCTCTTCTTAGCCTGGAAGCAGGGGATGGGCCAGGACCTCAGGGTCCTCTGGGTGTGGCCAGCGTCCACCTGCAGGTGCTTCTTTCCCCTGCTTCTCCTCTGCTATGGCTGTCTAGCACATGATAGGTGCTCGACTACAAATTGGAAGTCGGGCCGGTGTGGCTCAGTGGTTGAGCGTCGACCCCTGCACCAAGAGGTCGCCGGTTTGATTCCTGGTCAGGGCACATGCCCAGGTTGTGGGCCTGATCCCCAGTGGGGGGGCATGCAGGAGGCGGCCAATCGAGGTTCTCTCTCATCGATGTTTCTATCTCTCTCTCTCCATCTCCATTCCCCTCTTTCTAAAACCAATAAAGGAAAATAAATTTAAAAAAACCTGCTGAATGAACGAGATGAATATCCACTGCATAGGAGGTCCCCAACTCCCCAGTACGGGCCACGAGTGAGAAAACAAACGGTGAACTATTATTTGTAGAGCACAGACTCTGTGTCGAGACCTTGGACGAATCAGCTTCGTCTCATTTAATCCTCACACTGGCTCTGTGATGTTAGCATTCAGAGGACTGAAGACACAGAGAAGCTCAAGGTCACACATCTAGTCAGTGACAGAGCCAGGATCTGAACTCAGGTCTGTCTGCCCCTGAAACCCCTCCGCCACACTGCCCCTGTGCGCCGTGGCCACCGCTTACCAGCACACATACACGGACACGGGAGGCAGGATGTTGGGGGTCATGATCCACGGAGCAATCCGGAATATCACGGTGTCCGTGAAGATGGGTGTCAGCGGAATCTCCTGGGTGTGGGAGAGAAGGGGAGAGAAGTCTCGTCAGGGTACTTTTCGCTCCTGCCTTCCAAGGTGGGCGACACTGATAACCATAGTACACTTATTGAGCACATACTGTGTGCCAGGCCCTGGGGTGTTTTTACACGCACCGATTCATTTCTGCCTTCCCCCGGGGGTAGACACCCTCTAGTCCTTGTTTCACAGACCACGGAAACTGAGCCACAGTCCTACGGAACTCCTGCGTAGCTGCCCAAGGTCACGTGGTTAGTAAGTGGTAGAGCCTGGATTTGAACCCAGTGCCTGGCAGCCGAGCGCACACTTTCTGATCTTACCCCGTCCGAGTTCTCCTCCTGGTCGGCCCCCGAGGTGGCCGAGGCAGCCCTGGGCCTTCTGTTTTCACTCTGGACACCTTGCCCTTTGCTGTGCGTGAGCATTTTAACATTCTCTGGGGGAGTTGTGCTACATCCAGATTGTACGTGGTTTTGAGGGAAGGCTCGGGAACCTTGCCTGGAGCCCGAGGGGAAATGAGATACGATTCCCGGCCCCTTGCAGGAGCGGCTTGGAAAAGTAAGGGAAGCTAGCCCCTGCCTGGGCAGGGAGGACGCGGGCGGGACTGGGGGGCGCTGGCCTTTCCTGCCCAGCCCGCCCTCTGAGTCTGCGGGGCCCGCTGGGGGGCCAGTCTGGGAGACCCTGGTGGCCAGGCTGCTCCAGACACCCCTGGGAGCAGGGGAAGCCCCTCCCCACCGTGCTGTTGGCTGTGCCTGTCCCTTTTCCCACGAACTTGAGGGTGCTTTGTGAATGAGCTCTTACAAGTTCGGATGCTCACAACCACCCAGGAAGTAGGAGCTTTTGTTGGAAACCAAGGCGCAGGGGCACGGTTCACTTGTCCAGTGTCTCATGGGCTTGAACCTGGGCAGTGTGACTCCAGAGCCCGTTCTTATCAGCCTAAGACAGACGCAGCCTCCCCTGAATGCAGATGGTGGGGGCGTGTAGGTCTCCAAGCCTGGGCTCCCCTTTGGTGCTTTGAGGGGAGTGGAGCATAGCGGAGGGTCCTGGGCATGGCCCTCTGGAAGGAGCCCCCTGGCGCCCAGGGGCAGCCCCACGGTGGAGGCCCGGAGCCCTCACCTCGGTCATATACTCCAGCAGGCTGACGTGGATGGAGACCAGGCCTGGGAAGCCGTCGTCGGGGAAACGTAGGCCTTCCACGAAGAACAGCAGCTCCGCAGAGCCGCCCGTGTACTTGACCACGTGGTAGAGCTTCTGCCGGCCCAAGATGTGGATGTAACGCTGGCCGAAGAACGGGTCTGGAGGGAGGAGGACCAGTGTCAGACGCCTGCCCACCAGGGAGAGGGCAGTGGGGCGGGGTCACGCGAGGGCAGAGTCCTTCAGATGAAGAGACAAAAGCACGAGCGGAAATGCTGCCAGAGGGGCCGTGGCCTGGTCCCGGTCCCAGCACTACCGCTGGAGCGGGCGGCCTCTCTGGCTCCCGCTTCCTCGTCCATAAGGGAGCAGACTCTCCCAGGAAAGCACACGTGACGTGATGGCAGAGGGTGACTGAGCAGCGAGTGAAGCCGAGGAAAGATATTACTGTTCCTGTTTCACGGAAGAGGAGACTGAGTCTCAGAAGGGAGACACGGCTTGTTCGAGGTCACATAACCAGTAAGTGGCTGAGCGGGGACTCAAAATCATGTCCAGTTCCGAACCCCAAGCTCCCCTCCCGGTTAGAGAAATAAAACACCAATGGGCCCGTTTGCACCAAAATTCCCCTCCACGCAATGAGAGCTGTTTTGGTGAAGGCCCACGTGTGGGTGGCAGGCCGAACGTCTGGCGGCTGGGAGGGTAGCAGGTTGTCCGGCGCTCCCGCCCCTCGGGAACCTCCCAGGGTTCGCAGTGCTGGTCCTCAGCTGAGAGCAGCCGTCTCCCTCCTCGCAGGCCTTCATTTGTGTCCCTTCTGGGAGTTGTGCCCAGATGCCTCAGAGACCAAGCCAGGGGCTCTGTCTGGAGCTCTGCAGCCCCCGTCCTTCCCCATCACAGCCTTTATAAATGGACATGATCTCAGTGTTTCCTCGTTGGCCCCGAGAAGCTGTCACCCTTGTGGGGCAGAGATGGGTCCAGCCAGTCTGGCACATGGTGCAATAAATGTCTACTGAACCAATGAACCAATGGCTCCCAACCCACTCCCCGCAGGAGAATTTTTAGGCCAATTCAGAGCACAGGTATTGAACTATTACTCTGTGATGAGCATGGGCAAGGGCTTTGGGGGAGACAGAGATGCGACATCTCTGTTTAAGAGCAGGGCTCAGCTGATGAGAGAGAGCAGAGGTGGAAGCATCATAACAGAGCTATGGGGTGAGAGACCCCCCGGGTTACTGGGGTGGGGAGGGCAGGGGGGAGGCAGAGGAGGGCCGTCTTTGAGACGTCCTTGGGGGCAGCAGAGGTGGGGTGCAGTGAGGAGGGGAGATACTTGCACTGGCAAAGGCATGGAGGTAGGACCCTACGCAGTTCCAGAAGGAGCTTCTTTATACCCTGCAGAGCTGGAAGGGCAGAATCAGGCTCAGCTTAGTACCGTTGTCAACAACAACAGTAATGGTTAATGACCAGTTTGCCCAAGGGTTCGAACATGTAACCAGAATAGTCCTGGCACAAACGGAGTGGTTGATGAAAACTTGCAACATGGCCTGGCCGGTGTGGCTCGGTGGATTGAGTGTCGTCCCATGAACTGAGAAGTCTCCATTCGATTCCTGATCAGGGCACATGCCCAGGTTTCAGGCTTAATCCCCAGTAGGGGGCGTGCCGGAGGCAGTAAATCGAAGTTTCTCACATTGATGTTTCTATTTTTCTCTCCCTTCCTCTCTCTCTAAAAATCAATAAAAACATTTTTCAAAAGACCCCAAAACTTCCATAATGAAGGAGGAACCACCGAAGCCAAGGCTGAGGATAGCTCCTCACATAGGCCAATGTGCTCAACCAGACCCTGCTCCTATAGGGTGGGACAAGTGTAGGTTTACAGCTGTTCGTATGGAAAATAAGACAATCTTGAATAAGTAATAACACAAGAATAAACTCAGTGTCTCGTGTGCACACAACTGTGAACCTACGTTTGCATCTCTCACTGAAGGTGGTCACCCGCACGGTTATGGCTTCCACAGTCAGAGAGACCCGGGCTCACATACCACTCTGGCTCTGTAGGCTGTGAAGCCCCAGGGCATTCACTCAACCTCCCCCAGCCTCGGTTTATTCATCTGTTAAGTGGAGGATAGTAATACCTGTGCCACAGGGTCCCTGAAAGATAGAATGACGCAGCATCAGTGACTTTGGTAGCCTTGGTAACCATGGGTAAGATCGGTAACACAGCTGGGACCCGTTGCTGTTACTACTCTGAGAGCCGGTGAATGAGTCGGCACACCCCTTACTGTAAAGCTCATGAACGGAGGCTTGGATGGGCCCAAGAATGAGGCATAAAGGCTCAGGCACTGAATGTCCTAAGGAGCTCATCACGGCCCGGTGCAGAGGGCGAAGCCCCTCTCATCCAGAAATGACAGCACGTGCCCTGTGTCCTGATCACTCAGTAGATCCAGATGGATCTGCATAATTAAAAACTACCCCCTGCCCTGCCGGTGGATGGAGAGGTCCCAGTTCCATTCCTGGTCAGGGCACATGCCCAGGTTGTAGGCTCGATCCCCAGTAGGGGGCATGAAGGAGGCAGCTGATTGATGTTTCTCTCTCATATCAATGTTTCTATCTCTCCCCCTTCCTCTCTCTCTCTAAAAAAAAATTAATAAAAAAATATATTTTTTAAAAAGTTCCAAAGCTTTGGTGGGGGCAGGGGCTCCACCAGGGCCTGGGGAGGACAGGGGCCTGGCCAGGTGAGCTGGGTCATGTGGAAGGACATGATTTTGCCCATCTGGCAGTTTATGTGGGTCTCTGGCAGTTTGAGCCAGCTCCAGGCAGATCAATTCCTTGGCAGAAACAATTCAGTCACTGTCCCAAGGAGACTCCTTCCCTTGTCCCCCATTCCCAGCTGGGTATAGGCCCGCCTGGGCATGGCTAGCTCTCCCTGCAGGAACCAACAATGCCCCTTTATTGAGCGGCCCACACGCCTCGAGCTGGGCCCGCCAGCCACCCTGACCTCTCCTTAGCCCCAGGCACTGGCCTGCCGGGCGCGTGGTATGGTTTGGCACAAGTCTTCTGGTCACTTTGGAGACATTCCACCTCCCAAGGAGACTCCTTAATAGGACAGTGTGATCCACTGTCCTGGTGTGCCCGGACTAAGGGGATTCCCGGGGTAAGGGACTTTCAGTGCTAAACCCAGGAAGGTCCTAGGCAAACAGACAGGCTGGTCCCTGTATCCTTGTAGGAAGAGGTCAGGCCCCAACTCTGGGACCCTGGAGCAGAAGCTGGGGCTGGATCAGAGACACCTGGGTCTTCCTCCCAGCATTGGAGACGTCTGTCTAATGATTATATTAATAGTCATCATAATCCCAACACCTAGAGAGAGTGTTCCCTAGACTGGCTCCCTCCCAGAGTCCCTTGGCCTCCAGTCCTGTCCTCTGCGGTGGACTGAGGTGGGCACTCAAGAAGTTAACATTTTTAAGCTTTAGTTATAGAGTTAATAGGCTTGGTAACTGATGCACATAGAAAGCGATTGTTCCAGGGACTGGAATGCATGACTGGACCTGCCCTGACTGCAGGAGACCTGTAAGCAATTTGACCTTTGTGTCCCAGGAGGACAGCAAGTGACCAAGGCCGTGTCTGGACTATTGTGCCCCAGGGAGAGAATGTCCTCTGCCCAGGAAGCAGATAACGAATCACAGGTCACCAGGGGAAGGGATGCTCGGAAGATCATCGGACGGCAGCTTTTATCTGAGTAACTTTTCTCCCTGAGTGCCAAACCCCTTACCTATACTTTTCTTCTCCTTATAAAAAGGGTCACCTTGAGGTAGATGTAAGGCGGTCTTTTTTTTGTTTGTTTTAAACCTCTCCCAAGGATATTTTTCCATTTATCTTCAGATGCAGTGGGAGAGAGAGAAACATCAATGTGAGAGAGATACATCAACCAGCTGTTTCCACATGACCCTGACGAGGGCTGAGGACCAAACCACAACTGAGGCATGTGCCCTTGACCGCAACTGAACCCCAAACTCTTTGGTCCATGAGCCGATGCTCTAACCACTGAGCCAAACCAGCCAAGGCACAAGATGGTCTTTTTTTAATCCTTACCCGAGGACATTTTTTGCATTTATCTTCAGATAGAGCGGGAGGGAGAGAGGGAGGAAGAGAGAGAGAAACATCAACGTGAGAGAGACACATCGGGTGGTTGCCACCCACATGACCCCAGCCAGGGCCGGGGACAAACTGCAACCAAGGTACGTGCCCTTAGCGGGAACTGAACCCGGGCCTCTCCGGTCCGCGGGTCAACACTCTAACCGCTGAGCCAAACTGGCCAGAGCAAGATGGTCTTTTTAGAGCACATAACCCACTGTCTTCTCACATTGCTGGCCGTCTGAATAAAGTGTCTACCAAGGTTCAATCTTTGTCTCTACTTATTGGTCTGGCAGTGACAGATAGCAGGTGACACATGAAATTCCTGGAACACAACACATTCTCACCCATAGGTGTACTCGGATTCTGACACAACCCCAAAATGTTTGCACAGGAGCAAAGGGAGAAGAGAGAACTCTTTGTCCTGACACCGTGCAATCACCCAGGGTTCAACATTCTGTGGGAAACGCCTATTCTGGGATCATCGCTGCATCAGTCACGCGCCCCCCGCAGGACAGCAGCCAGGATAACACAGGCTGGGGACCTGTGTCCGAAGCGTCCAAAGCGTTTGCACCAGTGATTCCTCTTTTCCTCGTCTGCTCAGGACCCGGCTCAGATGGCAAGTGAGGGGGAGGGACGTGATTACGAGGCCAGACCTCAGTTCACACCCATCAATGCAAAGGACTCCTGAACATCCAGGGGTCACTATGAGCAAAGGGTCACACGGCACGACTCAATGTCATGGTCGAGAAGCCCAGCGGAAGGTCCTGCTTGTGCCCCTCCAGCCCCTGCGGCAGCCCCATCCCCCGTGGCAACCCTGGCCTGGATGGGGGTAAATATCAACACGTCCGGCCCCGGCCCCCTGGGGCTGTGGAGCCTGCCTGACTCTGGGGACTTTCCAACCTGCACGAGGTCGCTGCCTGAGCCCAGGGTGGATCAGAAGGAGGACTGGCTTCAGGTGGCAGCTGTCCATTGCTGTCCTGGCTAAATCGCTCCTTGAGGTGAGGGTCCAGGGCCCCGGTGACCAACTCCTCATGGTGACTGCCTTGGCTGTGGTGGGCTAGTCCAGAGGTGGGCCCCAGAGCTGGGCACCCATGGAAAATTGCAAAGCTAACTATTGCTTAGAGAGCATTTTAACACATAAATCAGATCCTGACAGTCTCTTGCTTAAAGCCCTCTAATGGCTTTCCACTGCCCTCAATAAAGCTAAGCCGTCTCTGCATGCTTGGCCCCTGCCCAGTCCGTTGACTCTGACGCCTGCACACCCCTTCGATCTGGTCTTCCTTCTGCTCCTCCAAGCTGGTTCCGCCCTGTTTTGTACAGACCGTTCTCTATGCTTGGAACTCTCTTCCCTCAGCTCACAAATGGCTGCTTCCTTCTCACTGTTTGGGTTTCCGCTCAAATGCCACCTGCTTAGGCTAGTGGTGCCTTACCTGTACCCGCCAGTCCCTGCTATGTGGTCTGTGTCCTTTCCTCCAATGGTGCTACTTACTATGTCTCCCTCACCAGACCGCCACCTCCCCAGGGCAGGGTGTGGCCTCAGAGTTCACTGAGGGGACCCCAGCGCTGAGAACAGCACCTTGGCACTGAGTCAGAGCAGGTGGCTCCGTGGTGGGAGCATGTCCCCTGCACAGGGGGTCCCAGGACGCCCACCGCATCAGGGGCTCTTTATTTATTTTTATTATTATTATTGTTTTTTAATCCTTACCCGAGGACATTTTTGGCATTTATCTTCAGACAAAGCAGGAGGGAGAGAGGGAGGAAGAGAGAGAGAGAAACATCGATGTGAGAGAGACACATCGATGGGTTGCCACCCACACGACCCCAACCAGGGCCGGGGACAAATTGCAACCGAGGTACATGCCCCTAGCGGGAACCGAACCCGGGACTCTCCGGTCTGCGGGCCAACCCTCCAACCACTGAGCCAAACCGGCCAGGGCCGTGAGGGGCTCTTTACAAGTCAGAGGCAGTTCTCAGACCCAGGAAGTCTCAAAGTCTCAGATGGGCAAAAACACCCGGGGGGGGTGGGGTGCTACATGAACCCGCGTCACCACCGACTCCCTTGAGAGAGGAGAGATCTGGCCCGTGAGGCCTCCTGGCCTCCCAGGACAACGATGCCTGTGACTAGTAACGTAACCAAGTAATCGTGTCTGTTACTCAGAGGTCCAGTCACTCAGAGGCCAGTCCCGCCTCTCTCCAGCACCTGCACCTACCGGGTCACGACTGCGAAGGGGAGGGGCCTGCGGAGCCTTCGAGGGCGCAGCTGGGCCCCAGTGGGGGCAGCTTGGTGAGCACTGAATGGACCAGAACGGCTGGAGGCCTGGGTGGGGTCACTCACTCTCCACGTAGAACACGCCCACTTTGTCCGAGTCCGACATGGAAATGTAGAGGACGATCTCGTATCCCGCGGGGAGGCGGTCCGGGCCCTTGGTCCGCAGGACCATCTGGGACATGTCCTTGAGGTCTGGTGGATGAGGGCATACAGGGAGGTTACAATGAAGAGACTGCAGGCTAGAGTGTCGGCTTACAGATGTAGACTGGGGTTACTTTATGATCAGGACAAAGAGAACCCCACACGTGTGTGTTGGAAACTGTAGAAAAACACCGAAACTGGTCGTCATCTCTAAATCCACAGATGACCAATAACCTTTTGGTAATTTCCTTCTGGTCCTTTTCTATGTATGTGCATCTTCTTTAAAAACATGATTCCAATAAAACTATATTAATAATTTCGTCTTCTGTATTATTTAAAATCCTCACCCGAGGATATTTCTCCATTTATTTTCAGACAGAGTGGGAGGGAGAGAGGGAGGAAGAGAGGGAGGGAGAGAGAGAGAGAGAGAGAGAGAGAGAGAGAGAGAGAGAGAAACATCGATGTGAGGGAGACACATCCATTGGTTGCCTCCTGCACGACCCTGACCAAGGCTGGTGACTGAACCACAACCGAGGCACGTGCCCTTGACCGGAATCAATCCCAAGACTCTGGTCCGTGGACTGATGCTCTAACCGCTGAGCCAAATTGGCCAGGGCTTGTCTTCTGTTTTTAGCAAGAGTGGATATTTGAGTCCACCATCCCCAGGAGACCTGAGGTCACTCCAGCCTCACCCTCAGCCCAGCCCAGGACTTAGCATGAGTGTTCCCATTGTCCCTCCCTACCCACAACCCCAAGTGTGAATCTGCCGGTACCGTCCTTGCTGTAGACCTTCTCGTCCCTGCAGTCCTCCTTGGACAACCAGGGCGTCTCTCGATCACAGTTCACCAGCAGGATGGCCCCCTGGCCCTCGGGGCCCCAGGTCCAGGATGCCTGCATTGGCAGAGAGAGAGGTCAGTCCCCTTTTCTACCTTCCGGCAGATGTTCCCAGCCCCAAACCTCACAGGACACTGAGAGACCCCCAGAAGGAGAATAAAGAGCAGCCACCACCCATTGGGTAGCTGTGACCTGGCAAACTGGAATCCCATGTCTGATGCCAGAGACAGTCTGTGTAGGCACCAAAGGCAAGTTCAGGAGGGGCATGGATGGTGGCAGAGACAGAGACTGGAAGGCGGAGGAGGCATTCATGAGCCTGATGTCTGGTGTGCCTGTGCCTGGGGACCAAGGGCCGCCAGAGAAATGGGCAGACAGACCTTCTAAGACAGGCTCTGAAGCCCCCGGAGGGGCTCAGGGAAGACACCTAGATGGACAGACACCCAACTGTTTGCAGACACTAAGTGCTCCGAATGGGAACTGCAAAGCGATCCATTTTCTACACTGTAGCCAGAGTGGTTTAGAACAAATTCCAGCCAGATCAGGTTTGTTGCTTTCGTCCCTATCAGGGGCTCTCTGCTGACTTAGGATAAAGTCACAGTGGCCTGCAAAGCCCGGGGAGACCTGCCCACCTCTCCGTCTGTTCCCCTCATCCTCCTTCTCGCTCACTCCGCTCCCTGACACTGGCTGCTTGACTGCTCCCCAAAGACACCCAGCTCTCAGGTCTTCGCCTGCACGTGTCCCTCTGCCTGGAACGCTGTCCTGTCGCCCTTGACCTGACCATCGCCACTGTGACTTCAACGTCACAGCAAAAGTGTCCCATTTCTCCGGAAAGGCTTTGTGATTCTCCAGGCCAGAGCAGCTTGCCTGGGTTAACGCTTATGACATTGCACATGTTCTTTTGGGGGTGGATTTAGGATAAACAGTCACCTAAGACACTATTTAATGTGGGTTCTCCCCTCCCACTGGACTGTGGGCTCCCTGAGGGCAGGACCTATGTCCCCAGGGCCTGACCCGGTCTTGGAATATAAAAGATGCTCAACAAATATGTATAAAATGATGTCAAATATGAACTGTCGCTGGCCCCCAGGAGAAAGTCTGGTTAAGCTCAGGCCCAGGAGGACTGTATGACTTCAACAGGCTGCAGAGTCCTAAGCGCGAGGTGGATGCATCAGAGGCTCCCTGGAGTCTATTGTCATGTGGCTTGGTCACCAACACAGCAAATGCATGTGTGAGGCTGACTCAGCTGCCTTGGGAAGGCAGGACCAGGGTAGAGCCCCACAGAGGATGCTGGGAGAAGGCTTCCCCAACAGGCCTGAGGCTCCCTTAGCAGCATGCAGGGAACCTGGGGCCAGCTGCTAGTCCCCAGCTGCTAGTCCCCAGGCTCCTTACTGGCGCATTTATTTAACTGTTTTAAATTATCCATGAATGTATAAATTAAACCGGCCTTTAGATTACTATGGAAACTAATTAGAGGATGTAACAGCAAAACCAACGAGCTTAAACACTGGGTGGAGGCGAAAGTAAGGAGCAGAATGAGGTTGAGAACACAGTGCTGTTTGCAAAGTTAAAGACACACACGCACCGACCAGACCACAGACTTTGCAAGAATGGTAGGAACAGAAAGAGACACAGTAAGCCCATTAAAACGGTCCTTCGTGGGGGAGCAGGCTAGGAATGGGGAATGTGGGATAAAAGAGAATGAGTGAGTGAATGAGTAAACAAATAAAACAGGAGAAGGGTTGCGCATGCAACACTAAAGATCACGTGTCCTGAACAGGGGGGTGGGTAAGGCAGCCCTTCTGCTTCTGGTGGTCTCTCCCACTCAGATTTAAAAGAGAAAGAAAAAGAAAAAAAAAAGGGGTGTGTGTGCAAATAATAACAGCAAATACTTTGGCGGCACTTCGTCTGTGGCAGGACATTTATTTTTTCCAACAGGTCTATGAACTGGGGTCCCCATCCTGCGGGTGGGGAAACTGAGACTTGGCGACCTGCTTTGTAGTGGTTCCCCTGCGGAGCTTGGCTCCTCTGTGGGCTGACACGGGCACTGAGGGTCTGAAGACCTGTCTGGGGGCTCAGTCTCCTCCTCTGGGCTGAGCTGCCTGTGCTGCCGGGACGACCCTGGCTGTTCTCAGGACCCAGCCTGGGGCTCTGCCCTGGCAGCCCCCCGTTAGTCTGCCCTGGGAGCTAGGTACCTTTTTCGGATTGTTCTTCTCGATCACGCCGTCCCGATCCGCATCCACATCCAGGGAGATCTCTGGGGACAGACACACAGGGGAGAGCTTGAGCCTGCCAGATGGGAGGTGGGGGGCAGGGCAAGAGGAAGACCTGTGGGATTAGGGTGTGGCTCACCCTCTGCTTGGTCCTCGGGAGGAGAAGGCCTTGCTGAGGTCATCTCATCCCCCCCCCCCCCCGCCTCAACACCCCACTGCCTGATGAGAACACGGGCAGAGGCTGCAGACCGAGGTGCTGTCAGTTAGGTCTGGATCGCCCACCACTTCCTGGGTCCTCAGTCAATGCTGGGTGGTGGGTGAGATGAGCTCACTGTACAGATCTGGGGCTCTTGGTTCAGAGAGGCCGAATGCCTGCCCAGGGTCACACAGCTGGCATTTGCGGAACCGGGGCACATACTGTGGTTGGAGCTCTTATTTTGAAAACTGTCCTAGGCCCCCACTGCCTTTCCCAGCCTGTCCAGGGCATGTGTACACATGCGTGTTTGAGCATGTGTCTCTCTCCCAGAATCCTCAGTGGTCTAGATCCCACCTCTAGTGTCCGAGGGTTTTACTTTGGGTAGGAAACTGGGTCTCCAGCCCCTCTCGATCTGAGTGTGCCCACGAGGCCAGGCTGTCAGACAGAGGACCCAGGGTGGGGTCCCTGTTTATGCTTTCTCTTGAAGAAGGGACCTTTGGTCTAGCTGAATTCGGCCTGCCGTGGGGACAGGCTTCATGGAAACTATGTGGGGCAGTGAAATGAATCCAAGATGCAGCATCAGGCAGTGCTGGGTTCGAGCCCTGGTTCTCCGCTTATAAGCTGTGTGTGACTTTGGGCAGGTTAGACAGCTTCTCTGATCTTTACCTGCAAAATGGGGCCCTCTCCAGTTAGAGGAGTTGCACTAATTGTAATAGAAGGCACTTCGAACACTTTGAGTCGGCTACTTCTGTGTTGAGGGGGTCACTCTGTGCACTGTAGGACGTTTAGCAGTATCCCTGGTCTCTACCCCTTGGGTGCCAGTAACATCCCCCAGCCGTGACAACCAAAATGTCTTCAATATTGCTAAATGTCCCTGGGAGGCAAAATGACCCCCTTCATCAGAGACTAACAGGGCAGGGCAGGGAATTGTTGGGAAGGTGACGTGAGCATCACACAGACTGAGATGAGCCGGATCCAGACTCAGGAACTGCCCAGAGGGCTCGGCCTCATGCTGGGCATGACTTGGACTGAGATGGGACTTGGGTGGGAATGAATGAATTCCTGGTAAGTCCCCTTGGCAAGCATGCCCTCTCCCTGGCCTGGGTGGGAAGGAGGGGGTCCTGGCTCAGGAAGGGCACTGATGTCACCCCTCCTCGGGTGGCTTACCCCGAGTCGGGACATTATGTTCATCTTCCCTTTGCTCATAGTCTGATTCCCTCCCACCCATGAATGTGGCTTTTCTGGGCTGAGAAGGAGGATGGGCGAGTGGAGGCTTTAACGGCACCCAGTCCTTGGGAGAGGCGACACTCCAGTGTCCCCACGTCTGCAGCCCTACTGTCCGTTAGACACTGTCAGGCACAATTATATACACTCCGGCCACTGGTCCCGTTCCCTCAGCAAGTCACCTGTGAACATCTGCTGTGTCCCAGGCACCACTGTGGTTCAGAGCCCGCGTGGGGGGCCCTGGGCACAGTGCCTGCTCACAAGGAATCCCCGTTCTGTGAGATAAATAGTCGTGTTCCCATTTTAGAGGTGAGCAAACCCAGCCTCAGAGATGCCCCCTGTGGGAAAACAGGGCTGTCATCTGGGAGGCTGGGGCAGCGGCAGGATTTAGGAAGGAACCGGGCGAGGTAGAACCACCTGCTGCTGCTGAAGAGGCCGCAGGCTCTGGTGGAGGAACTGGATCGCTTTGGGCTCCCAGACCTTCACAGACTTTCCAGCTGAACTGCCCCCCTCCCCCCAGGCTCCTCCCTGGGACCCAGCCACGGACTCGCCTCCTTAAGGAGTCGCTCTCTGCTTTTTAAGATAATCATCTCTCCGGTGTGCACAGTTCGCACTGCCAGCGGCGGGCACTTCCGTGCACGTTCTTCCCTCCCTCATGCCTGGGGGAGGGAGTTATCCCGACCTGGCCACCCTGCCATACAGCTGAGGAAACTGAGGCACCTAGCAGGGTAGTGGCCAGGAAGTCCCCAGAGAGCGCACAGCCAGGTGTCCCACTCGGGCCTCTGACTCCAGACCTCTGCCCTCGGCTGACTCGGGCTGACCTCCGCCCTGGACTGCGCCCAACAGCCCCGGCCACATTCAAACATCTAACACTGGCTGCCTTGAAGGTCACCCCAGAGGAGCTGGCCACATCCCCACCTTGGCAGCCCTGCAGGGTGGCACCACTTTGTGGCTCCTTTGATGTGTCCCTGAAAGCAGTGGGTCACAGGAGATAAAGGCTAACGCACTTCCTTGTGCTGTACTTTATTATGATTTCTTTAAAAAAAAAATTTTTATCCTCCCCTGAGGACATTTTTGCATTCATCTTCAGATAGAGCAGGAGTGAGAGAGGGAGGAAGAGAGAGAGAGAAACATCAACGTGAGAGAGACACATCGAGTGGCTGCCACCCACACGACCCCAACTGGGGCCGGGAACAAACTGCAACCGAGGTACGTGCCCTTAGCAGGCACCGAACCCGGGCCTCTCTGGTCCGCGGGCTGATGCGCTAACTGCTGAGCCAAACCAGCCAGGGTCATTATGATTTCTTAAATTTGAAAATTTTATGAATACTTGTATATCATCCACAAGAAATTGAATAGTACCATAGAGCTTCTAAAGAAGCACAGCAGTACCCAGCTGGTGTGGCTCAGTGGTTGAGCGCTGACCCATGCACCAAGAGGTTCCGGTCGATTCCCGGTCAGGGCACATGCCCAGGTTGTGGGCCAGATCCCTAGTGGGGGGCATGCAGGAGGCGGCCGATCGATATTCTCTCTCATCGATGTTTCTCTCTCTCCCTCTCCCTTCCTCTCTCTCTAAAATCAATTAAAAAAAAAAAAAGAAAGAAAGAAACACAGCAGTCCCCCGGCAGGCCCGTCCCCTCACCTGCCTGAACAATCTCCATAACGCTAAATACCACGCTTATCGCTCTCTCTTGATTTATGAAACGCGGGTAGGTTTCACTGGCTTCCTGTTACGCAACGCAGGCGTTACATAATGGGGCTCCTATATCACCCACCTTCTAACCTCCCCCAGTGCTGCACTTTTCCGTCTTATGACCCATGAGCTGTCTCCAAAGTTAACTGAAATGGCCTCCTCCCCCCTCCTCCCTCTCTCGGGTCCCCGCCCCCCCACTCGAAGCTGTAAGCCATCCTTGGGGGACTTCTCCCTTCAAAGTTTCTCCCAATGTCCAATTTCACTAGATTCCAGGGGGATGATCCTTGCCGGGCTGGAGGGCAGGGCTGGCATGACCTGTCCAGAGCTCTGCCCTCCGGGATGGCTGTGCCTCTTGGGGAGGAGGGGCGGACATCTGTTTCAGGGCCCCTGGGCTCTAGACACATCCCAGAGGCCCGGAGTCCTACCTCAGCTCCTGGGAATAGCCCCAAGGTGTCAGGTGGCGCCTGGGGTGTGGGGCAGATTAATGAGAAATGCCAAATTGAGTTCAAGGCAGTCTGCCTGAGTGAGAATCTAGACGCTGAAGTCTCAGCTTTGACTCAAAGCCACAAGCATTTGGCAGGCTCTGGAGCCATGGACAGTGACGGGGTGCCTGGCTTTCTTGCCTTACTGGGCAGCCTGGGGCGAGGTGGGGAAGAAGGTCTCTGTCCCTCACAGCCATCCTAGGCTCTGGGTAGGGGGCACAAGGAATGCGGTCCTCAGGTTGATGCTAAAAGTTCCCAAATCTCATATAGGTGTACTGCTCCCCTTGCCGGGACCACAGCAAAGAGGCTGAGACTCTGGACTTCCCTCCTCCCACCTCCACTTTTCCCCTTAACAGGAGGGTTTTGCAAATCAGCCCTAACTGGAGTCTTGAAGGCCCTCAGGGATCAATGAGCTCACTGCCCCCCCCCCTTTTTTTTAACCCCCACCAGAAGATATGTTCATTGATTTTAGAGAGAAAGACAGGAACATCGAGAGAGAAACATTGCTTTGAGAGAGACACATTGACTGGTTGCCTCTCCTATATGCCCTGACCAGGAATCCAACCCAAAACCTAGGTATGTGTCCCGACCAGGAATCAAACCTGCAACCTTTTGGAGCACGGGATGATGCTCCAACCAATTGAGCCACACTGGCCAGGGCTCAAACCCCTCACTTTATAGCTGGAAAAATACGATGTCTAGAGGGGGTGGGCAACTTGTCGAAGTCACACAGCAGGTCCATCAGGTAGGACCTGATGTGGCCAAGGGCACCATGGCTTTGTTCCCAAATCCCAAGAGGAAGACTGAGGACAGAAAGGTTCTTCAGCGTCCCCCAGGCAGAGAGAAGACGCAGCTGTCCAAGAGGAAGGGAGGAAAGAAAAGAGAGCATCGCCTGAGCACCTCCTCCATGCCAGGCTCTTTGCACACTCCATCCTATGAGCCCATTTTGCAGGTAAGGAAACTGAGGCCCAGAGGGGTGATGGTCATACTGTGGTGCTGGGGGGCAGAGCCAATACTTAGACTTATTTCTGTCTACTCTGAAGCCAGGGTTCTTTCTGTTCAGTGTGGGCTAGGACAGAACTAGGGAGGGACGGACTCAGACACGTCCTCAGGGGACAGCCCCACCATCTTGGGACGTGCAGATATTCCAGATAACTGATGACACATTATGAATGTCTTTTTTGGGGCCAAGCATCAAAGATGTCAGTCTTATTTGTTTATTTTTGGGGGTGTGTGTGGGGGGGAAGAAGGTGGACATTTTACTGGCCTATGGAACCTAAATATCTGGACCCTGTGGCAGTCATGGGAATAAGGGCTCTGGGAAAACACCTGAACGTCAGGAGGATGAGCCTGGCCATTCACCACGGGCACGTTTGGGATCTCCCGGGGTTCAGCACAGCTTTGCCATCTTCTAGGGGAGAGGGACAGTCCGTCCCTGCCCCCTCCGAGGGCGTCATTTGCTGTCTACCCCAAGTCTGACTTGCTTCGGTGGAAGTTGCATTAAGCCTGAGTCAGCCTCTGGGATCACCCTCGATGCCCAGGCCTCCGGCCGCCGCCCTTCCTTCTCAAGTCCTCAGGTGTCCTGTCTCTGCAGGATTAGGTTTCCTCAGGGACAGTCACCCGAGACAACCTGGGGGCTATGCCTGCATCGGAGGGCCACACCCGTGCAGCCCCCAGCTGCACATTTCCATCTCCCAAGGCCCCCTGAGGTTGTCCTGAGGACCCTACTCCAGGCTGGGTACCCCCTCAGTGTGGAAGAGGGGACAGGGTGGCCAGGGACCAAGCCCTTTGGGAGTAAGCCGAGAAGCAGAAGAGTGTTGCTGTCGAGCCGATTCGAGCAGTTCAAAGTGCAGGGCGGGGAAGGAGGGGCTGGCTTGGGAACTAGCTGTTTCTTTGGGGGGAGGGGAGGTAGTTTCAAGACCCAAAGAGAAGATGAGATAACTGAAATGACTTGTCTCACAAAGCACTTTCTAGGTATGTGGCCTCAGGCACATTTTTGTTTATTTTCCTTTTTATGTGCCTTGGTATTCTCATCTGTAAAATGGGGACAACAGTAGTGTCTGTGCTTGGAACAGTGGTAAGAATAGACTAAGGTCATGACAGTAAGACATCTAGTACTGGAGCCTGGCATACTGTAGGTGCTTAATACTTGTGAGGTGTCTCTCCTCCTCCTCTTCCTCAAAGCACCCAGCATGGTCCTGAACACAGAGCAGGTGTTCGATCAGTAGAAGACACTAGTGTGATTCTTTTTTTTTTTTTATCCTCACCCGAGGACATTTTTCCATTTTTTTTGTTCAGGTAGAGTGGGGGGGGTGGGGGAGAGAGGAACAGAGAGAGAGAGAGAAACATCGATGTGAAAGGAACACATCGAGTGGCTGCCACCCGCACAACCGACCAGGGCCGGGGACAAACTGCAACCGAGGTACGCGCCCTTAGCGGGAACCGAACCTGGGCCTCTCAGGACCGCAGGCCGACACTCTAACCGCTGAGCCAAACCGGCCAGGGCACTAGTGTGATTCTTAAAGCACTCAGCATGAAGCCAACACTCAACAACCTAGTTCCTTCCTCCTACCATGTTAACTAAGGCTGGACGAGCAAACCATCCTCTGAAATACACTCGCATTATATGGTTAACATTAAAACAACAACAACATACAATTAACACCTTGACTGCAGAAGAGTTGAATGAGTGAAGGTTCAGAAGACCACGTCTCTGGGCCTTGCTGAGCCAGGCTGGGCTCCACCCAGGGCCGGGGATTGCCGTGCATGGAACAAAACCTGGGAGGGGAATACTCCTGAATTCGGAACTCAGTCTGCCACCGAGTGGCTGTGTGACTATGAATGAGTTCATGAACCTCTCTGGGCATCACTGCCCTCATGAGTTAAATGAAGGCTTGACCGACGTGAGTTAAGGACCCTGGCTGCATCTCTGGGTCCAGGGAGGGTAAGGGGGTAGCTAGGATGGTCAAGGATAGCACAGGCTTTGTGGGCAGACCACTCAAACTCTTCTCCAGGCTGCAGGGGAGAGGTGGGAGAGGGACGGACTTTGCTCCTTCTTCTCTGTGATCTACAGAGCCTGGGATGGGACCCTGACATCGGGTGAGTTGCTGGCAGACCAGGGCACACCTCCTCCTGCAGAACACCCCCACCCTAGCGGAAAAGGGCCTGGGCACCTATGACATCACTCCTTGGTCTTGCATTATTCAGAGGAAGCTCCGAGTGCCAGGTGTGCAGCATTGAAAACAGCCCAAGTGCTGCCGAGAAGGGTGACAATGCCAGGCCCTGGGGGACGAAGGCACCCAGGCCATATCTGTATCAACTCACCAATGGCTGTAAGGAAGAGCCCAGCCTGGTCGATGGGGGTGTTCCCTTCCTGCTCATAGTAGTTGACAATGACCTTGGTAGGAGGGCGTGCAGTGGGAGGGAGAGAAGAGCAGAGATTATTATCACAGGCAGGAAAAGCTACAGTAACAACCTTCCCTGCCTTTCACAACCTGTCAAGCCAGCTTCTTCCAAACATCTGAACCCTCTCCTCCAGGAAGCACTCCTGGGTTGGTGGGCTGCTTCCCCCAGATGATCAAACTAGATGGGGGGCTCCCATCCTCTCAGAGTGCATCTAGGGTGCTGACTGCCTACCTGTGCCCCCTTGTATATTCTGCTGCTTGCGGGGTCCCCGCATCCACAACCACCGGACAGGGCTGAGGCTGTTTTTTTTGGCTAAGGCCCAGCCTCCATCACTCCCCTGGGCACATGAAGTTCGTAATTAGAGAACCCAATAAGGAGAGTCTGGTCTTGGCTTTACCAGCTGGGCAAATCACTTTGCTGCGGGGGCACCCGGCACCCCGTTTTATACATGATCCCAATGATTCTACCACTCCATCATTCAGCAGCCCCCGTTTTAACCTTTCACGAAGCCGGTATTCCCTGTTCTAGCACCGAGCTGTCCCAGACAACAGCCACGAGGCGCAGGTGGCTATTGGCCACTTCAAATGTAGCCCGTCGGAACTGAGACATGCTCTGAGTGTGACATGCACCCCAGATTTCGATTTGATATAAACAAAAGAGTGTAAGCAATCTCATTGATGTTATGTCGATATCATGTCAAAATGATATTTTGATATATGTAGTTAAGTAAAATACATGATTAAAATTAAGTCCACCTGTTTCTTTTTTCTCTTTTAAAGTGACACACGGGGCTGCCTCCAGTTTCTATGGGACAGCTCTGGTCTGGCCTGTCGATCCCAGCACGGCCCCGGCCCCCCGGCCCAGGGGTGGACCTCCCGAGCCGGTACCTTGTCGCTGCTGGCCTCCGTGCTCGCCTGGCTCATGGTGAGCCGCAGCGTGGTGCTGGGCGAGAGAGGCCAGCGCTGCTTGCCGTTGGCGGCCACCTCCTCGGCCTGCCCATCACGTACCACCTCCACCCGCACGTGCTCCGAGTGCTTCAGGCTGAAGGTCTCGGCCCCAGCTGGGGCTGCACTGTAGGGAGAGAGGAGAGCAGGTTATAAGCATCCCCTGGGTCAGGTGGGACAAGGAGATTCAGGAGGAGGTCCCTGGAGGCTGCAAGCTCTCTCCTGGGTTGTCTGGCCTGGGGGACTCCACAGGACCCAGCTATACGCCAATCACCTGGCGGTGAAGAGGGCGCTTGTTAAAAATACAGATCCCTGGGCCAATCTTGTACCCATGGAGTCCGAATGTTTGAGGGCGGGGCCTGGGAATCTGAATATTCAGCAAGCTTCTTGGTGCTTCTGATGGACAGCCAGCTTTGGGGGCTACATGACACTGTTGGGGGGCGATGACTGAGGCCCCGGGGACGAATGTATTCACTTCAAAGGCAGCACTAAGCCAAGGCCCCGTCTCCCACCCCCCATCTGGTATGTGAGCGGGAGGCCCGGAGAACTCAGGTGAAGGCCAGGAGGTGGTCATCACAAGGCTGGGTCTGCACAGGGGTGGAGCCTGGAACTGGGGTCCTCAAGGGACAGGGGTGGGCTGGCTCTGTCACGAAGATCCCTCCTTCTAGCCACAGCTTTCAGAGCTCGGAATCCCCCCGAGAGTCATTCCTTGGGGTTCCAGAGTGGCTTTTTATTGGGAGGGAAAAACTTTTGGGATTCTTGAAAAACCAGTAAGACTCCAGGGCAGGAAATGAACAGGTTTGACCCAGTGGCCATGGACCGAATGTTTGTGTTCCCCCCAAATTCACATGTTGAAGCCCTAACCCCCAATGTGATTGTATTTGAAGACAGGGCATTTCGAAAATACTGTTAAATGAAGTCATGAGAGTGAGGCCCTAATCTGATAGGATCGGCCGCTTTATAAGAAGAGGAAGAGCCTGGCGGGTGTGGCTCAGTGGACTGAGTCCTCCCGTGGACGGAGAGGCTCCGGTTTGATTCCTGGTCAGGCACGTGCCAGGGTCGCGGGCTCCATCCCCATAAGGGGGAGTGCAGGAGGCAGCTGACTGATGTATCTCTCGCACATCGATGTTTCTCTCTCTCTCTTTCTCTTTAAAAAAAAAAAAGAATAAAAACACATTTTTGAAAAAAGAAGAGGAAGAGAGGGCGCGCTCTCTCCGCGCCGAGGAAGGCCGCACGAGCACGCGGGGAGAAGGCCAAGCCCGCGAGAGGCCACCGGAACCTGAGCATGCTGGCACCCCGACCTCAGACCTCCGGCACCAGGACCATGAGGAACACAGTTCTGCTTTAAACCACCCGCCACGGCATTTTGTAACAGCATCTCAGGCTGCCCGAGACACTGGCTTACGGGAGGTAACAGGAAGGACCGAGACTAGGGGAGAAAGGTGTCCGAGGCCAGTGGTTCTGCTACATCCAGCTTAGGGTCTGAAGGTTCCCAAAGGCCGAAGAGGCTCAGAGGGGTCTAGGTGGGACTCTCATGGGATTGGGGGCTAAGACATCGGTACCAGTGTCTGCCTCAGGGGCACATCTTTTGAGGGCCTGGTGCTCCTGGGTCAGTTCTCCACTGTGGCCGGGCAGCTGAATCCTCAGGGTGCCACTGAAACCCTCAGGGTCTAAGCCTACAGCTTGGCGGATCCCATCCCCGGAGAGTCTGGCTGGCAGGACTGAGGTGTGGCTGGGGCACCGAAGATGTGAACAGTGGCCAGGGCGGAAGGAGAGGCTTAGACCAATGGCTCTCCCAGCTCAGCAGCAGCAGCATGACCCGGAGGGCTTGTCAAACCACTGATGCCTGGGCCCCTCCTCAGAGTTTCAGATTCAGCAGGTCTGGGGCGGGGTGCAGGGGCTGAGAATTCGCATTTCTACCATATTTCCAGGAACTGTGGTGCCGCTGGCCCAGAGGCCACAGTTGGAGAACCCCTGGTCCAGATGCTCGGCCGTGCTGTCTGGTGGTTAGCGCCCTGGGGTGCCCGAGGCTGGGAGTGTGAATCTGTACAGGCTACCATGCAAGGTCTGTCTGACCCTGGCCCCGGACCACAGGGGCTCCTGGCAGAGCCCACTGGTCTTGGGCACTGGCGGGAGAGTGGGCAGCGCTCCGGCAGCTCATGCTCATTGCTGGGAAAGGCGCTCCACGAAGAAGGCCAAGGCCACTGGAGCTCTCGTCTGGCCGCCCCCTTCTGAATTCCTCAGCCTGTCATGGGAGCACTGGGCTGATCTGAGGCTGGACACCTGTTGCCCGCGGCCTGCTGCCCTGTCTGCATTCGTCATCGGGAGAAACAGAGTCTAAGCAACAACCCTGGATTGGGGAGCTTGTGCAGATGTGGGTTCAAGCCCCATTTGCTACTGACTTGCTAAGGGGGCCGTGGGTGTGGAGCTGAGCAGGACAGTGAGCCTTTCTGAAGCACCAGGCAGCATTTCCCAGGGAGGTGTGGGCACACATGTGGGAGGCCTTTAGGTGGCATGTAGATGAACACTTTAAAAGATGTATTATTTATGAAATGTGTTCTCTTTTTTTTTATCCTCACCCGAGGACATTTTTGCATTTATCTTCAGATAGAGCGGGAGGGAGAGAGGGAAGAAGAGAGAGAGAGAAACATCGATGTGAGAGAGACACATCGAGTGGTTGCCACCCACATGACCCCATCAGAGGCCAGGGACAAACTGCAACCGAGGTACACGCCCTTAGCGGGAACCGAACCCGGGACTCTCTGGTCCGTGGGCCGACGCTCTAACCGCTGAGCCAAACCGACCAGGACGAAATGTGTTATCTTTTTATGGCAATTGATAAAGGCTTGCCATTATGGTAATAATATAAGCTGTAAAACAAAGTTAGAAGAGAAACGTGAGTTGATTTAAAGACAAATGTTAATTGTCCTATGGGTGAAATATGGTTTTGGTACAAATCACGAAAGCTTGGGCGATCGTGGGTTCAGTTCTGGGAAACATTCCTTTCGTCCAGCTTTGACTGTCAACTTGCCTCGCTTGTCCTCGCTGTGTTTCATCAAGTGCCAAATGAGTGGCTGGGACCAGGAAGGAGGTGGCTGGAGTCTGGAGAGCGCAGAGGGGGCGGGCTCCAGGCCAAGGGGTGGGGAGGAAGTTCTGAGAAGCTGGGGCTCTCTCTGCTGTATATCCACCTCAACCAGAGCCACTGTTATTTCATCTGGTTTTATATACTGAGTCTCTGCATAGAATTCTATTGAGAAAAAAGTGCTTTACAAACTCCCAGGGCAGGGTGAGGGTGTAGGACAGACTCTGACGATAACGCTGTAAGTGATGCTTCCCCCGCCACTGGCCAGGGGGAAACTGGAGGAGGCCCCAGAGGCTCAGGGGGTTAACGCCTGGTCCACACTAAAGCCCCAGAGCCCCACACCCTTCTACTACCCAGCACCGCCCCGCTTGGAGCTGAGCAAACAGCTATTCTTGGAGCGGCCCTGGCAGAAGCAACAAAGGCTCCCATTGTCTCAAGCGGATCCTGTTGGCTCCCTCCCGCCCCAGGAAGAACCCCTCAGAATCCCCGGAAGAAACCCACGAGCCAGGGGCTGTGGGCACCTCTGTTATCCTATTGAGGGCAAGAGGGTGAGGGTGTTGGAGGTGGCTGTGACCTGCTCATGCAGACAAAGCGAAGATAAAGATAGTGTGGACCGAAGGACAGGTTCCTAGGACCCCATCTGCTCTGCCCACCAGTGTCCCAGCACCCAGCACATAGCCATACTCAATATATGCTTTGGGAATAAATGAATGAATAAAGCCACCCTTGTTGGCTTCCCAAACTCTATTACTGGAGTGACTGAGAAAACAAGGTATCAGATCACTGGCCTGCTTGAAACTGTGCAGGGTTCCTCAGTGCCCACCCACACGACAGAATCCAGTCTTGGGCCTGGAGTTCTCTCGGTGGCCTTTAACCACCGAGTCTTAACTGGACTCTCCAGCTTCATTTCCTGCAACCCCTTCCAACCTCTCAGCTCCCGCATGGCTCCATCTCACCGTGCAGTTTGCACATGCTGTTCCTTCTGCCTACAATACTTTCCCCCGACTTCTCTGCATGGCAACTGTCTGTCCCTACTTGAAGATGCAACGCAGCTGATTTGTCCCTGTGTTTATTTTCCCTTGTGGCAGTTCTCTCCTTGGAGGTAGGGGCTGTCTTTTCTTTTTTAAATTTTTATTTATTGATTGATTTTAGGGAGAGAGGAAGGGAGAGGGAGAGAGGGAGAAACACCAATGAGAGAGAACATCGATTGTCTGCTTCCTGCATGCCCCCCACTGGGGATTGGACCCACAACCTGGGCATGTGCCCTGACCGGGAATCGAACCGGTGACCTCTTGGTGCATGGGTCGATGCTCAACCACTGAGCCACACTGGCCGGGTGGAGCTGTCTTTTGTTGTTGTTGTTGTTTTGGCACCTGGCCTACTGTAGGCACACAGTAAATATAAATATTTGCTGCAGGAAGGGCTGGAAGAGGAGGGCTTGCTCATGCCATTAGTCATTCACTCCACGTGTATTTATTGAGCGCTTACTATGTGCCAGGCACAGTTCTAGGTGCTGGGAGTAGATTGACAAAAAACATTGCCTAGGCTCCTGGAGCATATCTTCTCATGGAGGAGAAGGACTTTCAATGTATCACACGATTAATTGTGTGGTTACAGCTGTAGTAACTTCTATAAAGGAGAGCTATGGTGTGCCATGGGGCCCTGATCGGGGAGTCAAGGAAGGGCTCCTGGAGGAAGTGGCATCTGAGCTAAGATCTACACTTGCCACTCTGAAGGACAGGCGAGAATGAATTAGACCAGAGTTTCTTAAATTTGAGCATGTATCAGCATCACCTGGACGGCCTGTTAAGCTATAGGTTGGTGGCCTGAGAAACTATTTCTTTTCCCCCCAACTTTACTGAGGAACAATTGACCAATATAATTGAGAAGGAGAAGAGGCATTTCTAACAAGCTCCCGGGAGACGCTGATGCCGCTGGTCTGGGGGCCGGGGGTTGAGAACCCCTGACTTGGACAAAGTGAGGACAGGAAGCAGAGATCGCCAGACAGCAAGGACAACCGGGGTGAGGGGGTGAGGTGGGTGTTC